TTCAAAACATCAATTAGCAAATGGGTAAGCAAAAATGGACCATAATGATTGGTGGCCATGGTCAGCTCAACACCATCTTCGCTAGTTTGTCCGCGGAAGGCCAACGCCATGCCAGCGTTGTGAATTAACACATCTATTTTCGGTTCATTTTTTACGATATCGGCAGCGAATTCCCGCACCGACTTCTGTGAGCCCAGATCTAGTTTCTTCACAATCAATTTGTTGTTGCCCGTCTCTTTGCCAATTTCCTCTGGAAAAAAGAGTATGTAATAAGTATGTATGTATAAGCGATTACGATTTCAATGACATATAACTATGTCGTACCTTTAGCAGCATTGGCTGTCTCCAAATTGCGGCAGGCCATGATGATGCGCGCTCCCCGTTTGGCCAATTCGCGTGCTGTCTCCTTGCCTATGCCACTGTTGGCGCCTGTGATAATGACTGTTTTGCCTTCCATTTTGGTCTGCAAATAATGAGAAAAATGCTATTACATATCCATACATAAAAAAAAAAAAACAGATAAATAGCTTAAAATTAGTATTCGTGGTTCTTATAATTAAATATGTATTCTTGTTAACTCTTTTTTTGGATTGAGGATTAAAAAAGGGTTTAGAAGAGATGCTATGTGATTGAGGATTCAAAACTAGGGAAACAAGGTTATTCCCTCTAGGTCCCTCTAGATCGATGATTCCCAAAGTGGTCCAGGTGAACCCTCAGTAGAGACTCGATGAGGGTCTACGTTGGCGTTAAAAAAAATATGGGGGTTCAAGAGTTGTAAGTGCGGGTCCACGAATATTTATATGGCATCGATAGTTAAGAAAAAGAATGTTGGCTTGGCCTTACCTATAAATGTATGCCGATACACTTCTCAAAAAAATAGAGGCTGGAAAAAAAATCAAATTTTTCGGTGATTTTTGACTGGCTGTATTTCGGTGGAAAACGGTCGTATTGAGACTTAAAAACAACATTTTTAATGCTATTCTAGTTTTCAGATTTCTTGTCTAAAAATTTCTAGGAGCTACGGTTCTCATGTAATCTGACAGATAACACGAAAAAAAAATATTTTTCGAATTTGTTTTTTTTTTTTGTCCACGGACTCAAAAAAAAATATTCAATTAGGCCGGCATATGGATCAGATAGCCTACAAATTTAGCTTTAATTACCTTTTTCTAAAGCCCCCCTTTAAGTTTTTTGAGTAGAGTACGAATTTTGAATTCGGCGAATTTTACGCCGCGAATGTTCGCCGTAACAATTAAAACACACTGACGTATATGAGAACGCGCACAACCAAAGCGAACGATGAAGTTCGCCCGACGACTGTTCGCGACGATAGACTTATTTCTATTTTCGTCGCTGGTGACAGCGCCAAAATACGATCCATTGTGACCATATGCTAAATATTCTCAAGTTTTTAAAACGAAATTGAAAAATACTGTATTAGTTTTAGTTAAAAATTAATAAAAAAAATTTAATTCAACCTTGTCATAAGCAACTGATTTCGTTGTCGTCGTAGTTGTGTTTTATTGAGCGAAATTTTTGGGCGAAAGTTGCTGACGTCGTCGCTGTACTGTGCGAAAATTCGCCGTCCGCCGGTATTGTGTTTCAACGGTTAAGAAGCCATTCTGGATACTTTTACAATGTCTCGAAACAAGCTTAAATAGATGGAATCACCTCAGTAGAGGTGTACGGCGCTTACTATAGAAATATCTCGGTGGAATGGCACTTGAAAGAAGTAACGCAGAATGTGCATAAAGGTGCACCTCAACGAGGAGTGTTAGTAGGCCATTGAAGACCTGTTTAGTACTATTTACTATAAAATACCTCAATAGGGCAGAAACAAAAAATACCCAGTAGAACGTTTAAAGATTCGCAATGACAACGCGTGCCTTGGGATGATAGCGGCGCTCCATACAATATACCACATACCGCGGGCGGGCCTAGTAGCTAAGAACATAGCGTTTACAACTGTCCCCAAGCTCTATGGCTCTGGTCAGCTAGGATTTATGCGATCCCGCACAGGAGTTTCAAATAACCTGTTGAAGCTACAGTACAGATTGATAGTTACCTTAAGGGTATGGAGATGGGCGCTTCTTAGCTGGACGAAGGTGTAGCAGCTGCGGAAGTGTTCAATTCCTTTAAGCTGCCCGACCTCTAGACTTAATAATTTGTGAGTGCCCAGCTTTCAGCAAACAAAGACCAGCATTAATTGGCAAGTTCAGATGCAGGACCAAAATTTTCCACTATAATTCTCTAAAGGGACAACAATGTTTCCAACATTACTTCAGGTTTGTGAACAATGATTAATAAATCGTAGATGCGTCTAGCAATCCTGCGGAAGTTATTGTGAAATTTAATAGTCAATTCTTCTGTCAAGCTTTACACAAGGCTAGCATTAATATCGCCGATGTCAGTTAAGTCTTAGGTCGATTTTTAAAGCAGAATGTAATTTTTGTGAAAAGTACAGATAGAGGGCATTGAATGTAAGCCCTCGATATATTGTTGCCCCAATAGAGAAAGGCCGGCCCTATCCAACATTTTTATTTCTTTACGCAGCAAGTCATTAAACTTTATAAAAACTAAGGTTTTTTATTTGCGATTTATTTCATTACACTGGCTCTTAATAACCAAAGAAACTAATTTTTTGATGTAGTAGTTGACATTAAATTCGAATGAGTATTTAGTGGGTAATCTACCTACATACTTATACGCAAAGTTGAATTGTGAAAGAAAATAAGTTAGGGCCTTTCTATATTAAATTAACGATATGTAAATACACACATACAAGAGTTCCTCTGCAATAACGACACAATTGAAAATTCAGAAAATAAAAACCCTTACTACGGTTAAGTGGCTCATGTCTCTAACCCTTGTCTAATCCATGTCCAATACTTACTAAAGTAAGTAGTAAGGATTGGACAAGCATTTGAGACATGGGCCTCCTAACAGTAGTAAGGGTTTCTATTTTTTGAATTTTGAATTGTTTCGTCATTGCCGACGACCATCCATATGTATTTGTAATATTTTTATGCGCATTTGAGACTGTTGATCTCAGTTAATTAGTACGACATTATTAAATACCTCACGGAAAATTTGCAATCAGCGATAATTATATTCAGTACTAAATTAAATGGACAAGTCGCTGAACAATGTTTTGCAAAAAGTCTGGCCCTACACAATTACAGACGTCAGATAATGTAATAAAATCAAAACTGATTATATATTACTCATATATATACAGTGACTCAAGCCAGTGCCCACGTGCTGATTTTTTTTTT